ATGGAGATTTGTGCTATTGTGTGTGTGGTATAATTACTAAGACAGATTTTTAAAAATTGTATTTATTTATTTTTTAAATGGCACGATAAATAGGATATTTTCTGGCCTGCCCTGCATTTTGAATAGGATTTTCACTTCCCCTTTGGGTTCTGAGTGCAAGGAGAGTAAGTGTCAAAAGGCAGGCACTCTCCCAATTTTAAAACTGAGAGTGTAACCATGTGTAATATGAGTCTAGGTTTTGATTGTAGGGATGATGAAATCAAATCCCTCCTTAATCCTTACTGGGAAACATTGAGGTGAATTAGCCTCCCTGCTTTTGCTAACTTGTTAAAATCCCTTTGGAAAAAGAAACATGGTTTAGTGTCATCAAAAATATCTCCCTACTTTACCCCAGAGTCCAAGAGAGCACTGGGCTATTGTGCAGAATGGCCTCAATATAAAGAAAAATTAAAAGAGAAGGAGAATAGATAAAACCAAATATATTATTTTCCTTGGAAAAGCACAGTGCTTTCTGATATGCAACTCCTTCCAGTGATGCATTTTTAAGCTGGTTGCTTAGTCATTATTAACAGTGATATATGTCTTTAGAGCTTCTATATTTTTGGGAACAACTGGAAATTAACTTGCTTTTTCTTCCCCTCTTAAGTTTAGTTAAAATAATATACACTTGTCTGTGTGCATTGCAGTGACTGTGCATGTTCTAGTTGGAGTGTTTTTGGAACAAGTTAGGAAGTTTATTACATTTATTTCATTTATAGCAACGGAGTAGCTTGAACTTGAGAAGAGTTCCCTGTTCAGGTTGTTCAGCTGTGCTGTGCAGTGGTTGGAGGGTCTCTGCTACTGCTTCTTTACAAAAATATTTTGCACAAGCTCATAAAATCACTGAGGTGTTTTTTCCTCCCCTCATGAAACCCTCTTAATTTTGTTCCTTAATATGGCAGTCCACCTCCCACTTGTGCACACAGATATCTTTAGGGCTTAATTAATTAATTAAAACTAGCTGAAGTATTTAAGGAGGAGTGCCTTAGAAATAATAAAGGAGAACATCTTGTCCATTTTTGCCGTTGCTTAGACAGAGGCAAGCAGCTGGTATGGTGGTGGGGTTTTCCTGATGTGACTATACTGAGTTCCAGGGCAGGACCTTGCATCAGTTGGTGTGAAGCACCTGAACAGCTGGAGGTTAAGCAGAAAAGCATCTCCTTCTCAGTAGCTGACCTAATAAGACTAAATTTGTGTGAAGCAATGGGAGCAGAAACTGATGTTTCCACAATGGAGCAATATAATTGTCAAGAAATTAGTCCTCCACAGATTCCAGGCTTTTCTGTTGTTGGGGTTCACATTCATCCCACCTAAATTTAGACACTTATTAGATTCAGTCAAAGTGAAAGGAGACCAGATTCATCTGTTGGATGTGTATCCTAACTTGCACAGGAAACCTTCCCTTAGGCATCTCGTTTAAACTTCAGAGGGAAGAGCATCAGCCAAAGAGTCTCACTTAGGAAATCCTTGAGTCCATTTTACTCTTCCACAGTCAGTCTGTGAATTTATCTTTTCATTCGAGGTCTTTCTCTATAGAGAACAGGCAGGACTGCTCATCTGCTGGGAGAGAGTGGCTGGGAAACCCTTTCACAGCTTTGGGAGTTAGAGTGCACTTCAAAAACTCCCTTTCTGAGATCCTGGTGCCCACAAAGCCTCAGTCTCTCACTGGTTGCAATCATTAAATAGGAAATATCTGATGTTACTGGCAGGAGAGTGCATATATCATCAACTTGCTTCTTTTATAAGTGGTTGATCACTCTTGCTGTGCTTAGGGAAGCTACGTGAGACAGCTTTTGTGCTCATTTGTGAATAACAGCAGGGAGAAATGGTGTTCCTCCAGCTTGTCAATTATTTGTTCTTTTCTTTCCATCCACTGTTTGAGTCCTTGATCTTGATGAAGGTATTATTTAATTCCTGCATTTCTGAGCCCTTAACCTTGGAGAGATACATAATAGGCATGAATTTAGGCCTTACTGGGGTGCTTTAACCAAGCTGCTTTTCTTTGAAGCTAAGAGTGACTGAGCCTGGGAGGTTCTCTGTTCTCCCTCATCTCCTCCTGGTAGTTAATAGTCTTCACAAGGGATCTCAAGACACTCTTATAAGCCTTTGAAGTTATTACCTACTATGGTTTTGCTCTTTCTGGGTGCTGAACATTGAATTACTGACTGCTGTTAGAAGCAAATAGAGAGGGTTCACAAACCCAACAGAGACTTGTCTGTAATTTCTGCAGAAAAAGAGCTGAATGTAGTGGATAAATTGTGTTGCTGAGGAGATTTTGATTCTGTTCCCTCCTCTGTCACCAGTTTGCCTTGTGATTTGTGGTAGCGTTTTCAGTTATGCCAGTCACATGAGATCAAAACCCATGAGTCAGACTCCACCCTAATCATGAGCCTGGCTTCCAGATCCAGGAGCTTTGAACAGAGATCATACCATACTTTTTTTCTTTAGTTTATCTTTCATTTCTGGAATTTCCTCTGTCTATTCCCAATGTGTCTCTAGCAATTAATATTTCCCACTCTTTTGGGAGTGTTTTGACCATTTTGAGCTGTTGGAGGCCTCATTTGACCTCAACAATTAATTTTATTTTTGTTGTCTACTTATTTCTTCCAGACTCTGCATCTTCCTCCTGTCCTCAATGAATTCTGAATCCCTTAACCTCGCATAACCCATCACATCTGTGTCTTCAATGCCATTCATCTGCTTTGTCCCCCAGTAATCCTCTCTGGTCTTGAGAGGGTTTTTCACCCTTGCTTTGCAGGATGGAGAATGTGTGAAAAGATGCAGATGTGGGTAACCCTTAACCTTTGTATGCCAGGAGGGCAGTAGCTTTGCATGGTACTGTAAGACAAGACCCTTTTGCCCACAAGGTATTTGCAGGACTTGGCAAACCAGGGTTTTACAGTCACTTTGAAGGGAGCCAGGTGAAGAGTGAATCAGATTTAATGTAGTTACAAGCCAAAGTAAATCCAGAGAAGGTAAGATGAGAACCAGCCCTTCTGTCTGCACTCTTTTGCCCTCTAATTGAGTTGTCAATCTATTTTTCTCCAGATTTTAGGATTTTAATATATTACTTGTAGACTCAGTTTGCCAGTTCCATTATGAAGGACACAATTATGAATGAAATGGTGAAAAAACCAAGGGGAAATCTGGAAATATTACTGTTTTCTCCTATAGCATTTTCTTCTTTTCAGGAAGACTAAGAAGTTAAAAGTTCTTGGCAATGATTTAACAAACCAAAGCCGAATCAATAAGTGTGGCTTTGCAGTAATTATTGCATGCAATGCAGTGGTGCCTGGTATTCCCATGGTAACATCATGGTTTTGCCATGAAATTTGAAGAACAGAGCTAACTATTTAACTAATAGAATTTTGCAGATCTAGGCTACTCACACGCCACGTAGATGGGAAAATGCTTTTTTCTTGCCCATCCTAATGCCACACAACTCTTTCATCCACATTGTTTGCTGGTTCTTGCATATGTCTCAAGCAAGGCATATTGCAGATCCATAATTTCAGGTTAAAGTGTAGTCAAATTGTATCCCCATGTCCAAATACCTTTACAGTCTGAATGTTTGAAGCCAAATCTGAACCCAGAGAAAATCTCTTTACATAACCCTAAATTTTATGACAGGTTGTGTCCAAGCTTTGAATCAACACTCACTCCATATTTTGGTGGACGGAAAGTGTGGAATTTGTTTTTAAACCCAGAATCATCAAAAGCTGTGTTCAAGACATGAGAAAGATTAATGATGCCTACCAGAAAATCTGTTAGCTAAACATTCAAGGCCTGTATTTGTAGCAACTAGAGTCATCTCAAAATGTTTCTAGTTGTGCTGTGTACGTTTCACAGAACTGCAGCAGTTGGAAGCGATTCCTTCTTTCAGACAGAGAAATGCTACCTCACAGCTTGAATATTAATAAGATAAAATTTATGAGAGCAAACACAGTAATATAATATTTTCTCCAAAGGAAAAGGGCATGTATTTGCTTCGCTCTTTCATCGGCCGTTTTTGGGCACACATTGTGTGCATAAAATACAGTTATGCAACCCATGTGGATCAACAACGGAAGGTTGGTTGCTTCACCAGGATTATAAGAATCTTTTGAACACAATGGTACCACAAATTAAAATGGAAATCTATCAAAACCATTATCGTCCTGAAAGCTTTGGCCACAAACATAATTATTGTAGAAGGATATTGTCCTTGGATGCAGCTTTGGCTCAGCTCAGCTAGTGTTATTTGTATCCCTCCATGGCTCAAAGTCAGAATTTGCATGGCTAAGGACCATAAATTTTTAGAGGAAAAAACAGACTGTTTCCTCAATGCTAACACTAGCAGATTTTTATTGTTTTGTAGTGGTTTGTAGGCAACTCATTAGGTACTAGATATAGGAACAGCCTGAATGTGGTGGCTGAAGTTTGCCTTGAACCTTGGAAGGACATGGATGGAGATTTCTGTCTGGATCTGGCTGCTCGTGTCTGAGGCTGTTGCTATATCAGATTTGAACAAGAACAAGTGAAAGTCCAGAGTTCTTGGGTTAAAATCTTGATGTGAATTCCACATTTTGGATGCTAAAACAGTGAAGCTGTTTTCAGCTGCAGTCTACAGACTTAACTAGAGCAGAAAACCTGTCCTGAGTTTTCTAGCAGGTCCCTGAGCCCACAGTCCTGTAGAGAGGAGAGTAATTGAAAGAATGGAGAGTCCTGGATTTTGCTTGCCATTAACAAGGGACACATCTCCTTTACCCAGAACTGCCACCAGGTTGCTTTCTCAACTCCTGACAAAGGCTGAATCCTGGAGTAACTCCATTCTTGTGTTGATCATAAACTGTATTAAATAACAGGCACTGTCAGTTATTTTTAAACTGGTTGTTTTTCTTTCAACATCCAATTTTCCATCTTGAGGGAGGTAAGTGACTAACAAGTCTGAAATCTGTTTTTCCTCTCTTTCCATCCCTCAGGCTGGTATAGATGGAGAAAGCATTGGGAACTGCCCGTTCTCCCAGCGTCTCTTCATGATCCTCTGGCTCAAAGGAGTTGTGTTCAATGTCACCACTGTTGACCTGAAAAGGTAAAGATTGTTCAGTTTAATTGAAAAGAATGGCGTGATCCAGTGTTTGCCCTATAGAAAGGCCCCAGCAAGTTAAATCAGGTTTGTATTTAGCCTAGAGGGTCTTGTGGTGCAAAACAAAATAGTTTGGATTCAGCTTTGGGGTTTTTTATTTTCATTTATGGAATGTTTTTATATTAAACAGGGTGCTTGGGGTAGTTTCAAAGTCTTCTAACCACAAACTACAGGGAAAAAAAAAAAAAAAAAAAAAGGGCCAACTGATTTTGTAGGAACCATACATATCTGTGCAATTACCTGGCCATAACGGTTAGTGATTTGCTGACTTTTTTTCTCTCTGTAGAAAGCCAGCTGACCTACACAATCTAGCTCCTGGGACCCACCCACCTTTCTTGACTTTTAATGGAGAAGTCAAGACAGATGTTAACAAGATTGAGGAATTCTTGGAAGAGACTCTTGCACCTCCAAAGTAAGAACTTGGGATTTTTTCAGCCAATATTCCATTTCCTAGGAATGAAAGATGTCCTAAGAGAAGTTCCTAAAAAGCACTCCCTCCTACAATCTTTACTTACAGGAGTAATATTTATTTGTGAAACTTGCTGGCTTCAGTGAGATGACTTCCATGTGTGAAGGTTACTTGTATGACTAATAACTGCAGAATGTTTTCTCTGTACACATTTCAGGATGCTCTTGTATGGAGAATTAAGGAGACCAATACTAGAAAAATTTTGTAGGGATCTGGTGTCCACATTTTACAGTGCTAAAAATAACTTGGAATAGATGCCGAGAATTGCCACACAAAGTATCTGTGCCAGGAAAAGCATTTTACAGCAAAAATCTGGAGGTTTCTGAGCTGTATGGTGTATTAGAATGGTTGGAAGGGGAACAGATTAGAGAGTACAAGAGGCTCTGGAGGCAAAGTGCTCATTATTCTGGTGAAGAAATGACAACAGCCCTTTCCTGGAATTTATAACCAAACTAATTCAGATTAGAAACAAGACACAGATTTTTTTCAGTATGGATGATTAACCATTGGAACAAGCTACTAAGGAAAGGTTCAGATTCACCAGGTATCCTTAGTTAATTAAATATTTTGGATGTAATAGAAGGATAATGGGCGGGGGGAAGTTGGCTAGTATTTTGGACTTTAAAATCTATGAATCAATGAAAATTGGCTCTGTTCCTTATGGAGTGTTTTACCTCCAACTGAATCAGCAGCTATGGACCAGGCCTGAGGCAAGAGATCGGATATTTAAATTTGCTATTCTCTGGTCCAAGACCACTGAAGTCAGTACGAGTGATTAGTTTGTGTTGATCTTTCAAATAGATATATTCCTTTTCATCAGGTGTCTCTAAAAACAAATCAGAGACTGAAAACTTTATGCTCCTTCACCTGGGTAACACTAACATGCCTGCCTATTACATCCTGGAGTGAGTTTTCAGCGTGGGGAATTAGACACCACTGCCATTCATAACAGAGCAAGCTGGCTGCCAAACTCCCCTGCACCTTTCTGGTATCTTGGATCCTGGTCACATAAAATACATAAACCAGAAACCTTTGTCATGAAGCCACCCCTCCATAACTATCCAAATGCCTTCCTTGGCAGACACACACATGATTAAGAGGGTCTTGCCAAGGTGTCGTTTTGAGTTAAATGACAGTGCTAATTGCAGTTGCTCATGCAAGGCTTTTTTTCTCTCCTCTTGTAAATTGTGTTTGTAATCGTCATGATGTTGCTGGTAACAAGATGTTACTCTCCACGTTGCTCCTCCCTTTTCAGGTACCCCAAGCTGGCTGCTAAGCACCGGGAATCTAACACTGCTGGCATCGATATCTTCTCCAAATTTTCTGCATACATCAAAAATACCAAGCAGCAGGATAATGCTGGTGAGTAGGATCATTGCCAGACGTGTCAGGGAACTTGTGTGCTTAGAAGTGGAATCATTTTTCCATTTTTCTATCATCTTGTGTAAACTCACTTCATATGGTATCAGGTACTGCTGTTGATCAACTTGAGATGGTTGGTTCTGCAGACTCAAAGCACATGTACACAATTGAATTAACCACATCTTTGCTAGTAAATAAAACAGGCCACAGAGTGTTTGGTAGCCCCTTTACCAACTGCCATGGCATGGCTCCTGTCTATACAGCCCAGCTTCCTCACTGGAACAGGATCCCATACTGCTTACTGGAGGTGGCTGGTGGCTCATGCTACCTTCTCTATCCAGGCATTGCTTAGAGGAGTGTGTGTTGAGTGGATGCAAAACTGTTCAAGTATTTAAAATTTAGCAGTGAATGACTGAGTGAGAGCAACCCATGCCCTGACCTTTCATAATTTGTTATATGTGGCCATCAGACTCTTCACACAGTTATCTCCTGGGCATGTCACACTGTTATAGCTAATTTGTTCATATAAACTGAATTGTTTCAAATCGTTAAACATGAAGTCATTAAATTAAAGAAGTGGCTTTAACAAATGTAGTTGCAGACTTTCTCTCACATGTATGTGTGTCAAAGTAATAAATATCCCTCCAGAAGCTGAATGCCATGCATCTTCACATGCATCCTACACTGTCTTGTTAATGGAATTGCTTTTCTTCTTCACATTCCTTTCCCTTCAGAGAGGCAAGACTTCAGCTAATCTAAGTTTCCTTTGCTCCATGAAAGCTAAAGGATTTACACTGCAATATCCCTTGAGATGATCGAGTAGATCTGGCATATTTGCAGTTACACACAGTTGTACATCTGACTTTATATTACTAGTTTCACAGACAGAGACCTAAGAGAAGACTAGATTTTTTCAGGTTCCAGCTCTGCCACAGATTTCATCAGTGCGATTGTATTTCATTGCCTGGGGCTGACCCATGAGATGAAAATGGGTAAATTATTATTTATGTCAGATAAAAATCTACTCCTTAATATTTGTACATTGTTAACAGAAGATAATAATTATAGTGCTTCACTTCTCAGGGATGCTAAGAAGTGATTTTTTTTGTGTCTAATGCTAATGGGATGCTCAACTAACCTTTGTAGGAAGCTGTAAAAGGAAGATATATTAAGAGCTAGATGAAATAGATGTTACAGTAAAAATAAAATGTCTTGGCTGTTTACAAGGAATTTTTATGGTCTGCTCCACAGCTGTAAATCTTAAATTCAGCTGTGCTGCCCCTTGCATTCTAAACCAGCCACAGGTATCTGTCCACATGCGTAATCCCAGCTCGTTGGTTCTCAGTGACTCTGCAATATGCAGATCCCTGGGCTCATAAAGGCTGGCAGCTCCAGCAGTAATATATGACTGTTCCAGAGGTGTCTGCATCTGGCTACAACCAGAGCTGGAATTCAAGGTCAGATATCCGCTACTGTGAGATAAGGAACCTAACCCCACAAAGTGCTTGTGACCGGGTCTCCCTATATTTACCGGCTGCAGTGTGATTAGTGGGAGCTTTCCCTAGTTCTGCCTTGACAGACTTTTAGTTTAGGGAAAATAAAAGGAAAATGCTTTCCAATGGCAATCCAGCACACCAAGGTTATAAGGAAGATGGATGTTAGGCTGCAAGGGAGCAACAACTTTTGTTGCCTGCAGATGTCCTCACTCCATTTTGTTAGCTGGTTTGTGCTCTTGTGATATCCAGGCACAATCTGAACACACCAACACTCAACTTTCCTCTTTGAAGCAGAGAAAGGCTCTTAGCTTATTATTTACAGCTGGAGTGCTGCAGTGCAAGGAGAATAATGCAGGGATGAGCAGTGTAGAAGTAGTACCTGCATGTTTTTTCTGTTGACAGAGTAAAGTACCTGAAGACCTTGGAGTCCTTGGGACTATCAGAGCAGACTTACGCCATGAGGGCAGCAGACCTCCATTCCAGCTGAGTAACGGGCTTTCAGTTTTCGAGGCCTAAGCAAGAACAGCTTTTCTCTTGTCCCAGGGACATTTTACCCACTTTCCTATACAGTTCACTTGAACCTACAGCAGTTATTCTGAAAGTGGATTTGGATGGCAGAAAACGAGTTAATTAAAAGGTAGTTGTGTTTGGTTTCTTGAGCCATGAAAAGACTGTGCAAAAAAGGACTGTATACATATTTCCTATTTCAACTTGATTGGTATGTTTTAAAATTGCAGCACCAATAAAAAGGTATCTGGGGCTCTAGCCCTGATCTAATCCATGCAGTTTTGCAGCAGCTTCTGATGTCTTATCCTCCCTATAAAATGGCAGTAGTTGTGTATAGCTCTCTAGTAACAGAAAGCATTTTATAAATTAAAATATAATTACTTAGGAGGATATACCTTTCCCTGTCTTTGTGTGAGCAGTGAGAAAGATCCAGAAAGAACAGAGGTCACTGCCTGTGGTTATCTCATGCCATTTCTGTGTACATCAGCCCTCTGATAAAGGTACTGACATTATTTTATAGTCATCCTCTATCTTGGCTGTTAGTTCCAGCTGACTCAAGTGCTTGGGTTAAACTGCAAGGCCACACCAGTGACACCAGTGACCACTTAATCAACATACATGAATAGAAGGACTTTTTAATAAATAAAAAATAGGACAGAGAACCCAGATCAACTTATAAAACATACTTTCAGTTTCTTTTGGTTGGCAATAGAGGAGTGTTGAATACCAAGCTAAAGCACCAAACATCGTGTGGTTTCAATTATGGTCTCTTAACTTGGGAGTCAGGGAGGTGAATTTATTAATGTGTGGGATATCAGGCTGGGAAATTATAGCATCAGCCTATCTCTGCTTGTGAGAAGTGTGGGTTAGGTGTAATTATATATGATTCTAGCATACTGGTTTAGCAGATATCGTGCAGTCTATGTAACATGAGCTCTCACTACAGCCTGTAGCTATTATATCTTGGTGCTGAAGTGGGGTGAGGTGGTTGGGATAATTAATGAGATTTATGCAGTATGAGGATAGTGGATGTGAGGATTAATGAGATCCTAATGCACGCCAAAGATAAGCCCAAACTTGTGTTCCTCCCAGGAAGGTTCATAGCCAGGGGTGTTGCAACAATTTCAGACTTCAAGTGATGCCATCACTTGGCTATGTTGTTGCAATGTTTCCTATCCTGAGAGAAGTGGTGAGATGGCACTGCTAACAGTCTTTAAGTAGCTCCTTTTCCCCTTTCCGTTTTTTGTTTTGTTTTGTTTTGTTTTTTTCCTTATAGTGGAAAACAAGATTTGCAATTTCTTAGTTTAATGTGTGTCTGAGGTCTTGCATGCAAGCGTATGGACACAGTGATACATACGTCTGTTTTTAAGATTGTGATACCCTCTGCTGGCAAATATGTGAATCTATAAAGTTAGCAACTATACAATCAAGGCTAAAACATCCCCTTAACAAAATAGGTTTCCTTCTGTCAAGACAGTTTCCTCTTACAAATGCAGCGTTGTCAAAAGAGAAGTGTTTCATACTAACCTATCAATTTTGACAAAGTTTTCATGGAAAAAATAATGTTTTTTCTGGATGAGGTAAAACTACTTTGAAGTGAAATGCTTTAATATTATAGAGGAAAATAGTGCTTTTTTTTTCTGCATTCATGCAGTACTTCATTAGCCACACGCAGTTATGTTTTATGCCTGGCCCAGAAGCAGGTGATAACCTTCTTCTGTAAGTCTGTATGGCAATGTGTTATTGATCATGATTCATTTACTTACCAAACGTATTTGGCAGCCAGGCTGCCTTGATTTAATAGTTCCCTGAATTTCTGATTCTTTTTTTCCATCTTTGTTTTCCTAGCTTTTCTGTCTTATAATATAAAAATGTTGAAAGGTTTGGAACAGGCTGGCGAGGGCTGTAAGCCCAGAAGCAAACATGCTCATGCCATATCAAAGTCCCACCACTTTTAAGCTTCTTGAAAGGGAAGGAATTGATTCCAGATTCTCAGGATGTGGCAAGCTGTGTTTAAAGAAAGTGTGTGCATTTATTATTTCAAGTCAGTTCAATTACAATGGGCTTGGTTCCTTCCACCCCCTGTGTCACCCGATAATTTTATAACAGGCCTCTCTGAAGGAGTCATCTCCTCATCGTGGGATTAGATCCATGTCTTGCTTCTGTAGCACAACTGGCTTATTCATTCCTCTGGCCATTGCCACCAGGCTTCACCACTTGTGCTTGAAATGACCAGCACTCATTCACCCAAGAACAGGAGTCCTTGGGAGAGTTCAGTGGCTGTAGTCTTACAGGTTTGTTTTTTTTATGGTGCTCTTGGTCAAGTCTTCCTGGCCAATTTGAGAGATTTTGGGTGCTTAGTGATTATTGAACATCTAGGAGGAGATCTTGTCTGGGAACAGGAAAGTAAAACAAGATCTTGAGAGTTTACTTTGGTTCCTTAGGTTGATGCTGAGCAAATCACTCAAGCTCTGTATGGTAACCAAGGTATAAACAATTTATGTATTCATTGGGGGAGGATAAAATTTAATTATTGGAATGCTGTGTACACATTCAGTATCCTGCTTAGTATTTTTTCCTCTGAGACTGTAAACTGCAAACCAAGGGGACAACCTATAGTAACCACCCATTAACCATCCCACCTAAAATGGGAAGTTCTTTGGCTCATAGAATGAGCCCTTTGATTTCATGTATGAGTTTAAAAAGTTGTTCTTGAATTGAGTTCTTAGGGGGCAGCAGCTCCAGTGTGGGTGGGCGCATTCATTAGTGGTTCGGAAGGATATTTCACTGTATGGCTCTTCAGAAGGCTCTGAGCTGGGAGACCACCAGCATGATTTCATGCAGAGGAATTTCCAGCCGTCTGACCAGAGGACTCTGCTTGTCTGGCTTGGATTTACATCAAGAGGCCAAAAATAAAAGCGCATTTAAATCATTAACTTGCATGTGATTAAATGCCGTTCACCTCTGTCAATAGCTCCATCAGACTTTGTGGTTAAA